TTCCAACTTAAATGTCCCATATATTGACCATTACTTGAAATGTCACTTTCTGACCAACAGATTTGCACTCTTACAAATATCTAATTTGACCACAATTATATCAGACGAGTGATTGTGTCCTGGAGTCGTGACTCTTAAAAAGACGGTGCTGTTTGGTCTGCGCAGCATATTAACCTGGGTAATTGAAGCCTGTATTTGAATATTTTTTCTCTTTTGCTTATTTTTCAAAGGAAATGCCCATAGGATTTCTGTCATCACTTAATTTATTTTTCTTTATTGTTTTAGATGAGGTATTGATTAAACTTAATACTAACATTTTACTGGATTTTTACTGTAAGAAAATGAACATACATATTTTCACTATACACACCTGTCTGTGCATTGTGCTTCTGGCACACCAGACTGTCGCTTATTTGATAGTTAAAAAGGTAGCAACCCTAGTTGTGTGTCAACTGCATTGCGATCGTGGCTCAAGAGTTGGGAGTTCGCCTTGTAATCGGAAGGTTGCCGGTTCGAGCCCCAGCTCGGACAGTCTCGGTTGTTGTGTCCTTGGGCAAGACGCTTCACCCGTTGCCTACTGGTGGTGGTCAGAGGGCCCGGTGGCGCCAGTGTCCGGCAGCCTCGCCTCTGTCAGTGCGCCCCAGGGTGGCTGTGGCTACAATGCAGCTTGCCATCACCAGTGTGTGAATGTGTGTGTGAATGGGTGGATGACTGGATATGTAAAGCGCTTTGGGGTCCTTAGGGACTAGTAAAGCGCTATATAAATACAGGCCATTTACCATTGCATTTAGTTTGAATGCTATGCACCTCCTGCATTTAGTTTATTTATTCTTGATGGCTGGAATGACTTCTTGCTGGGGGCTTCATGATAGGCAAGGTACACCCTGAACAGGTGTCCAGTCCATCACAGTGCTAACACAGGTGAGTTTTTTGCTAATTGATTTTAACAACAAAGAAAAAATCTAGCTACCTACAGGTATGATCCGACCACCTAGAGATCTGTAGAAAGTTACTGATGTCATCCTAACACCTAGCTATAGATGCTGTAAAAGATAGATGTACCTTGTGGATTGGAAAATAAAAGTGCCTCAAACCTGCATCTATCTTAAGGCCACCACATAGCGATAGCTGTGGTTGTAAAAGGACTTCTGGTCCTATAGAAATCTGACTTGAGCTCTGTAAACACTTTCTTTATCTTCTGTTGGCTGCTCCCTGTAGGGGACCACAGCAGATCATTTGCCCACGTCTCACCCTCTACTATCCTCCTCTGTCACACCAACCCTCTGCATGTCCTGCTTCATGACATCCATTAACCTCCTCTGAAGTCTTACTCTTTTCCTCCTCTCTGGCAGCTCCATATTCAACCTCCTTTGTTCAGTGTATCCACTATATCCCTCCTCTACACCTGTCCAACCATCTCAGCTTTGCCTCTCTAACATTTTCTCTCAAACACTCAACCTGAGTGCTCCCTTTGAAGTACTCATTCTATCTTGTCCATACTGTCACTCCTGATGAAAGTGTTAACATCTTTAACTCTGCCACCTCCAGCATTGCCTCCAAATTCCAATCTTGGAATTTCGCCTATGCCCATGTTTCCCATGGTTCAGTTTGTTTTTTGTATTTTCTTCGTTTATCTCACTCAACCAGTCCCCCCTCATCTCTCTTGATTTCTCTCCACTTCCTGCTATACTTTTCTTCCCAGCCATCCCATCACCCACCTGATCACCCTCTCATAACCCACCACCCTCCTACCCAAAGACGCCCCCGGCTGCGGCCTAGTTACGCCCCCAACAGAGATAAAGAGCTAATTGGAAATCGCTCTACTAATTAACCTTCTCCAGGCTAAAAGGTATTTATATCATCTGCTTTTTGATGGAGCGATAGCAATGGGAGGAGAGGTTGAGGAGGAGGAAGAGGGAGGAAAGGATTGAGAGAAAGATGATAAATGTTGATTAAGCAGGTGAAACAGAATACTGGTGAGAGGGGCTACAAAAAAATTTCAAAGGAGCAAGTCGAGATGGAGTACATCGGCAATTCATTGCTTATTTCTCAATTTTGTGGCAGATGGTCAGTTGTAAGGTTGCAAAATTTTCAGCCATCAGTTTGCTGCTTGACAAACACAGAAAAACCAGGTCAGTGTGGAGTGAAACCTGCTGGATTGTTTTGTCCTAAATTGACTGAAGTGTCTGCGTTTTTGATGATGGCAGATGGGGAAAGGGGTGAGGGTAAACCCTTGGGGGTGCAAAGAGACCTCGGGGGAAATGTAGTCTGGATACGTGTAGTCTAATTTTGTAAACTTTATCTAACAATAACACAGGCAGTAGAGTTCAACGGTTCTATCAATGGTACTTATGACAAGGATTACAGTTGATTACGCCAGAAGTGTTTACATTTTTTTTTACTTTTAGTACTATGAATATTGTCATGAATCTAAATTTTGATTTAGACAAGAAAAGAAAACTTTCCTGAAATGATTAGACGAATTGTGGGAGTATCAAAGGAGATTGAAAAGGAACTGAAATATAAATCAAGAAATGCCCACAAATATAGGCCAGGCACTGCAGATTGTATAACATGTCTCTTAGGATATTCACCTAATGTTCAGGGGTTTCTTGAAACTCTGTGAGGTCTATAGTATTTTCAGTGTTGCACAAATGTGGTCTACACACATCATGCAGAGTATCTGATTAAAGAAAGGAGACAAAAAAATCTCCTCTCCAAAAAAAGTATGATATGACTTTGTGATTTTGTTTTTGAGGAAAAGGATCTAATATCTGCTAGAAGGAAAAACTGTGTCTGGTGTCAAATATTTTTAGTTGCTGTTTCCCCCTCGAATAAAGATTTCTGGGAATTGCTAAATGCTAATATTTCAAATATTTATTTCAACATACAACTGTTATACAAAAGAGGTGAAGACCATGTTTCACAGGTGTGATAACACAGTTGTCCTGCAGTGGAGTAGCTTCCTTTATCTGAACATGAAACTTCTCATTAAAACAAAAACCTCTATTTTGGTCTCATTCATCCCAATAACAGTCATTGTTTAAGCAGCCATCTGGCTCATCCATGTGATCTTTAGCAAACTGCAGATGGGCAGCAATGTCCTTTTGTTTTAATCCTGCCATGCACACCACACATTCAGTGATCTCCCGGTGATGGACTCATAAACCTAAAACAGTAGGCCAGTTTTAGTTGCAGGCTTTTGCTTGATTAGACGTTGCTCTGGACTTTAACACCTCTTACTCGTGGAATGATCTTTGCTGATCGACCACCCGTGAGGAGAGTGGTAGTGGTCTTTGATTTCCTTGATTTTTACATTATCTGTCTGTTTGGGATGAATTATGTAACCCTTTTATAGTCTGATAAGCATAAACAACCTCTCAAGTCCTCAGGAATGTAAGCTTTTCGCCATGACACATAAACATACTGTGATGTGACAGATCAGTGTGTAACAGGACAGCAACAAGGTGAAAGCACTTCAATTTCACATTCAACTGAGTCTCCTCGTACTTTAGTGAGATAATTTACTTGTGTTTCTTTTAGTTATTTTTCTTCTATTTTGGTCATCTGTAAATGGTAAAAGTACATTTATTTTGTATGTGTGCCCGCACATGGATTATTTATAACAAATACATCTTATTAAAGCGAGGTGAATCTCAGGTGCCTTCGCATTCAGCTGTATGCGATGTGTGGGACTAAAGTCTGTGTGGATGTGACAGAGGGAGAGAGATGATAATGAAATAAGAGCAGTAAGAGTGACAGTGAAGCAGTCAATCAGTCAGTGAAACAGTGTCTAGCGGGCAGCACAAGCTACAGTAATATATGTGAGGAGGGGAGGGTGGTGAGGGGGAGTGAAAGATCTCAGGAGAGTAGGAGTCGAGAGGAGAAAGGGAATAGTTTCAGGTTTCTGTCATTTGCCATACCACCTTTCTCTTTTCACTTCCCCCCCCTCTTGCAGAACCTAATGGGGGGGTCTAAGGAGGGTAAGGTTACCTGGCTGTCATCCCCCACTGGCTCCGCTTTCATTTCATTTACTCTCTCACTCACACTAAAAACCAGGTCCATCAGGCCTGCTGCAAACAAATTTTTTTTGAATTTACTTTTGGAACAAATTTCTTGGAAATGTGTTGCTTCACTTATACTTTCTATTTATATTCAGCCACAGGAATCCAGAAGAAGTTTTGTCATTGCGCTCGTATTCAGGAATTCAATCATGTATCTCTTGGTGCTATTTGAAGCAACCAATTATCAAATTTTGCTAATGCATATTAATATTAATATACTAATTACCGTGTGGGCACTGGAACATGATTCATTAGCAGCTAGATGAGTCAGAATTTCATCTTACATACAATTAATATGTTACATTTGAAGTTGGAGGTAAAAACACAAAAAACAAACCTCCAATGTGTTAGGAACATTCTGCACCAAACTGCAAACGGCTCCAGGCTTTGCTGTAGGAGCACAGGACACATCTATCTTTAATAGATATCAGAGGAATGCTGCTGGCTAAACAGGCTAGCCAAAGCTTTTCCGTAGGTCAGAATGATGGCAAGGATTGGTTGCACCTGGCTTGGATTTCAAAGAAAACTCCGTGTTGAATGCAAAATGTTGAGTTGGCCCTTGCAGATGTCAACTGTAAGGCCTGAAGGGAAAAAGCACTGAGAAGCGAAAATATCAAGTGAGGAGCAGAATGTATTTAGGTCTCTCCTGCTAAAACAAAGTCTGCTGTATTGGATTGCAAAGCAGTATTGGCAGATGGTCTGGTAAGCCATTTTTAAACAGCAGGTACTGTCAGCCAAGCAGTCTGCTGATACATTTCCCCGAGCATAAAAAGTTGAGGGCAATAAAGCATTATTGGTAGAAAACAAGCTCAGTCATGGTAAGTGCTTGTAAACACTGAATCATGGCTAATCAAAACTGTGTTTGGATCTGATTAGCATGTTTAATTTCCCAAATTGCTTACATAAACACAACTGAATGTTTTTGTTTTTTTTCAGTTAAAGAGCCATGGCCCCAGCTTTACCAGAGTCCACGCACCATGGCCAGTATTATGTCGAGAGGCCGAGTTTCTCAAGATTAGAGTCCCCACCAAGACGGTAAGATCAGAGTACCTCACTGCAGCAGTTTCTTGTTAGGTTAGCAAACAGCTGAAGTTGATATTGTGTCTCTGTAGTTATATTTTTTTCTATATAATGGCTATTACAATAAACTTAAGGGTTGTAACATTTTAAGAAATTAAGTCTAAGACTTTGGTATGCCAGTTTTTTAAAAATTCAGTTAAAAGTACAGAGACAGTCATACCCATAATTATATTTACACGTGGGGTTATTACTGCAGTACCACTCAGTGTTAGGTCTTTAATTCTCAGACAGTGTTAAGTTCTTTGGATGTGTGTATCTTACAGGTAGTAACATGGTTAACTCTGTATGTTTTGGTTACCCCAGAGTTATGAAATCAAAGAGGAAACTGGTTTCGGCTCCAGTATGAGCACAGTGTGGAGAACGCTGACCAAGCCTTTCCAGCCTAAAGTACCACATCAAGATCATGGACGCACCAAATTTCTTTCACACTGCTTCTCCAGGGACAAGCTACACTTGTGAGATAAATATGAACACAGATTTATTTTCTATAGAGCCTTATTTTATGGTTTCAGTATAAAATAAGACTAAGTAATGATAAGAAAACCAACTGTCTGGTACCAGGGCTGGTCCTTAGTTGGATCTGACTATGGATGCTATAGTCACAACCTTCTATTAACCTAAACAACAAATGATGTCAAATCATTTATTGTCGAAAAGTCACTACACTTGTTTTTTTGTTTTGTTTTTTTAAACCACAAACTTGTAACACACAGCCACCTGTTTGGTGTTGTTGCAGGTGCATTTTGTGTTTAAAGTTGAAAAGACTATGTTTTGCAAAAACCTTAGCAGCCCTGCCATAGTGTACCATAGTGTTCATTGGTTGTGTTTCCTTCAGGTACAACATCACATCTAAAGACACTTTCTTTGACAATTCTACAAGGGGCAGAATAGTAAGTCTCTATGTTTACATCACTACCTCCTGTATCATATTTTTTTTCAAGATTAGTCAATTTTTCCAGTCTAACAAGCTGAAATGTTCCACAGGTTTATGAGATCCTGAGACGGACGGTGTGTGCACGAACCTGTCAAACCATAGGTGAGGGTACAAAGCATTTCATTAGAAGTTTGCTGTGCCTCTGCTTTACCAGTGTTTAAATGTGTATTCCAATAGACTCCAATAGCAGATCTCAAGTGGTTTACTGAAGGCATCAGTGTCTAATAGAAGTCACTAAGTTATTCACTCATTTTTTTTAAGTGTCATGTTGCTAGTCTAAAATAGTTTTCAGTATAATTGATCTCATTCACCTGTGCTGGAAAGCAGCAACACTCCTCCAAGCATATCCTTCCCAGCCTCCTGAAATTTGGTCAGCCATTGGTTACTCCCAGAACTAACTCATTTCAGATAATTTCTACACCAGTGCTTCTTACCAGATGGTGTGGAGAGACACACTGGTATGTCTTGAGGAAAGTTTGTGAATTTATCATTTGCTAGCATAGTGTCAAGCATTTATTTTATTTTTTTAATGCAAAAGGATCTGGTGTTCCAGATGACATAAACACTCTCTTCTGCAGATATAAAAACAGGTGTTGCTGGAAATTTTGCTTTGCTCTTTAGTGTGCCATAAAAACCTCTAAACCACTGGTCTACACCAGAGCCTATGACAATAAAACCCTGCTTCAAAATATGTTTGCATTCAATATGGATGTGTAGGTTCTCAGTCATCCAGATCATGGTAATCTCAATCTCATGGTAATCGAATCGAGGCACTCGGAAGAAACATGACTGGACTTTCTATGGGCTTCTACTGCTGCAGATATGTGGATGACACCTGGGTCAAAATCAAAACCCAAGAAGTAGAAGCCTACACTGTTCACCTCGATTCAGTGGATAGAAACATAAAGTTCACCAGGGAAGACAAGAAGGATAATAGTTTGCCATTTCTGGACTGTGCTGTGCACATTGAAGAGAATGGAAACCTCAACATTGGAAGTTTACCAGAAGCCCACACACAGACCAGTACCCACTCTTTGACTCCACCGCCACCCTCTGGAACACAACATTGGAGTAATCATTACCCTAGAACACCGGGCTGAAAACATTCCCTGTAAGCCAGAAAGGAAAGAAAAGGAACGCACACATGTAAAGAAAGCTCTTTAAACAGGTGGTTATCCCAATTCATCAAATCTGTAAAGATGCACAGGATAAAGGTCAGGCACCAACTAGGAAGAAGCAGAATGACAAATGAAACAACATTGTCTTGTCATTGTCCACTTTGGGGTGGCTTACAACACCAACTGTCTGCCAACTTACAAGCCAGTTTTGAGATCCCTCCCCAGACACCTCAACGCCCACTCACATCTTCTGTGACTTGATCTCAATAGTTCACATGATCGGGTGAGCCAAGGTCTCACAATAGTTTCACCTGAAAACTCTGCTGATAATGACCCACACCCTTTTCACACCTTGGCTCATGTGATGAGGCACATAATCAATAGCGGGTCAACGGCCCTCTTAAGGGTTAATCCCACTAGGGATTAAATACTCCACCATTTGGTTTTAGAAATGAAGAAGCTTCTCTGATGAAGGTGAAACATCTTCAAGAAACCTAAAGAAATCCACTGGCTTTTCTTTCCAAGCTACTTAGATCTGTATACAATACGTATACAATACTGAGCATTTTGGTTACACCTTTGGTATAACAGCACATTGACTACACCCGTTTTATAGCACCCTTCAAACAGGGTGTAGCAATCAGGCAACATTTATTTGAGTCAATGATGATAAACTAAATAACACCCGAGCATCTCATATTGTCTTGTTCTCTGTTGTGAAAGGTAAAACTATAGATTTGTAGTTAAATGTTATACAGCAATAATTCTTAGTTTAGGAAGAAGAAGGTACTAGAAGGTCGCAGAGCCATGCAAGCTGTTTGTGCACTAGAGAGATTCAAGTGGTTGTCTAAACAATGAGTGCTGTGCTGCATAGTTGGATGACACAGAGATCATTTTCCCAACAACCTATTCCCACCAGGCCGTTCCTAGAAAGGCTGCTCAATAACAATTCCTTTAACCATAGACACCCATAGGGACATTCAGCAGCTAAGTCAATATGTTCAGCCGCACTCTTTGTTTGTGCAATTGTGCGTGACCCATAATTTGTTGAGGTAATCTAGAAAATAAACATGCAAGGCACGCAGATGACGGCTGTCTTAAAGGCTTCATTGTACTTTCATTGGAATTTCCATTAAAATATATCCATCACTGTTTGTCCGTATGAGACATGAAAGAACTGCATGGTATCAGGTATCCCCTGATTCTTTGTTAGTGCAGCTCTTTCCTGTTTATATAACTGTAGCATTTAATTAGACGCAGATTATGGTTGCATCTGCCTGTCACACTTATAATGCCCATCGGTCCCATATAGATATGCCGATCCCAGTTTCATTTCTAATGTCCACCATATGTCTGGTTGGCTTGCCTATCACAGCAGAAGGTCTCAGCCAGCGGGTACTAATGAAGCTGTAGGGCAAGAAGGGACGAGAAAAATAGAGTTGCATCTTTTTAACCTCTATTTTCTCTCTTCCCCTCCCCCCGCCCACCCAGGCTCACACAATCCCCACACACACACTCTCCCTCTCTGTCTCTGTTGCTTTACTCCATCTCTTCTACAAGTGGGTCATACTTCCCGGGTCAGGCTGAGATTGAAGCGGGGCCACTGGGAGTTGTGGTTGTTTCTGGCTGGTTGAGTGAGCATTCATGCGTAGGTGTATGTGTGTTGGTCGTGATGTTCATTAATAGCACAGCTAATCGCTGCATAGGTCCGTGTCCCCTTTGAGGCACTGATAATTGATTAGTTAGTTTGATGGAAGAGGTAGTTGTGTATGCCGCGTCATGTCATGCATCAGCGTCCACCCCTGACATTGACAGGTAACGGGCAGGCCACGATTTAACGTGTGAAAACTTTCAAGGGCAAAAGACAGAACCAGTCTGACACTGAAAGCCAGACTTTTTAAAATGGTACAGGCTATACAATACGTGTAGGGAAAGAACCATCTTTCTTTTTTATTATTATCCTTTTGGGACAACAAATCACATCCTTAAAAAAATCGAATCACAAGTAAGTAGTGCTGGATATTGGATAAATAAAAGGAGGTGCTCTTTTTCATTGTCTAAAAATTAATTTCCTCTTAGCCTGGAACAGTTATTTTAACCTCAATCCTTAATTCTTTTTCAGTAAAAAATGTGCTTACACACCTCTTTGTAAGTGCCTCAAACACTTATTTTTTTAAAAGCCCAGCCAGCTGTTTGAGTTTCTGGTTGAAACCTCGCTTGCCTTTCAATGCAAGTAAAAACTGTCGTCTTTTCAGAGGATGCAGTTCACGATGCTTAGCAGGAAAAGGAAACCCCTCATAAATGACACTCAAACTCTCTTGGGGTTGTCTCACGTCTCTGCTCTCTCTCTTTCAGGCATCAGCACATTGATAGCTAAAGGCGTGTATGACGCTGCCTTCCCTCTTCACGATGTAAGTGCAAAGTCCCCTGAGACGCTGATGGTTTTAATGTGTTTTACTAGATTTCAATTTTCAGTGAGTGGAAACATTCTTGGAGTAGAAATCTTACACTCTGACAAATGACGTAGCAAAATACTGACTAGTGCAGGAATTTCTCAAGTTTTGAAATTAACGGGTACATATAATACATAATTGCGACTTATGTTGTGATTTGGCGTTATATAAATAAAATTGAAATTGAAAATTGAAATATAAGGAAGAATTACTGTTCTGTGTTAATTTTTGATTATCTAATTATATTTTGTGAGTGATAATTCAATTCAGTTTTATTTATACAGCACCAAATGACACCAACAGTCGCTTCAAAGCACTTTGTATTGTAAAGACCCTACAATGACAGAGAAAAAAGCCCAAAAACATATGACCCCCTTTAAGCTAGCACTTTGCGACGGTGGGAAGGAAGTCTCCAAAAGTTGATTCTGTTCATCCGGACGTAGCGTTTTGTGGAAGAAAGGTTTCGTCACTCATCCAAGTGACTTCTTCAGTCTGCAGTCAGCTGAGTCTGAGCATGGAATAGTTTTTCAGCATCACTCTTAGAGAGGATATTTCTATTTTTTAAGAGATTGCACAGATGGAAGAAAGAAGTCCTAAATATTTGTTTAATATAATAGATTCCTTACGGAAGCCAAGGTAACGAGGCCAAGCAGCCATCAGATTTCTAAGATCCTTAGGAGTGAGTCGAATAACCCCAGTTTGATCTGATTTTAGAAGCAGTAAATTAGAGGTTATCCAGTCTTTTTCTTTAAGACATTCCTGCAGCTTAGCTAATTGGTGTGTATCATTTACTTTCATAGATCCCCTGAGTTTCATCTGCATAGAAATGAAAATGTATGTCTAATTATGCTGCCTAAGGGAAGCATGTGTAATAGAATTGGTCCAGCATAGAACCCTGTGGATCTCCATATTTAACCTTAGTGTGTAGAAAAATCCATTTAAATGAACAAATTGGAGTCTATCATGCCTTCTCTGACCTAAAATGATCATTTCAGTTTCTGAAAAGTCTTTTGCTCTAAATTAAAGATGTACACTGGCATGGCCCCGTGGTTTAACCAGCTATAAAACTGACAATAACTCTGACATCTAACTTGATTGATATTAACACTTCAGACAACCTCCTCTTACCACATTATCTGCTCTTAACAACTTCAAATACCGTATTTCGAGTGTTTTTAATTTCTGTATTTCTACATGTTTTCCACAAGTGCACTGTGCTGCCTGTTGTCGTGCGCCTGTGTGCACTCATGCTTTTCATCCTCTCTTCTCACTGCTCAGGGTGACTACAAGGTCATCGGACACCTGGAGGAGAGGAACGACAGACAGGTGCGTTGACTCAGCCTTTCATTCCTGTCACCCCCTTTGTTCCTTTAAGTGATGTGGTACAGCTATGAAAACTGAATGAGTCAAGTCAGCTGTCCAAAACATGTTAACTCCCAGCAACTCAAAAAGGGACCTCCACTTTTCTGAACAACTGAGCTTTAGTTTGCCATCCTCATCTCATATTTAATTTGATTTTTTTTTCCCAACATCTGTCTAATGTGTTTACAAAACTCCTCTCAAAGTGCAGAAAAACAGGATCCGACTCAAATTTCAAAGCAAAATATTAATAGAAAATTGAAATGTGAAAATTGAGAGGATTAGTCTTTATCCTTGTGTTTACTCCAGTTTTTGTAACATGTTCTAGTTCAACCACATACCTTGTTAGATTTTTATCTTTTAAGGCTTCATTATGCGGTTTTCCTCCTCTTACTGCATTTCACTTGGCTGCAGGATAATGTTACTTATACTGCAGCTTGTTGGCTTCATCCACTGAGGTTTAATTCGGCCAATCAGAATGTTACTGCCTACAGATGAGCTCTACCTCTGAGAATCATTTTCAACTTACAACATGACAAAATACGCCCACACTGACTCTCTCTTTCTCTTTCTCTCTCTCTCCCTCTCTCTCTCCCTCTCCCTTTCTCTCTATTGCTTTGTCTTGTCTGTCAGGTTCTGCATGAAGAGTGGGCTAGATACTCAGCCTTTTACAAGTACCAACCCATTGATCTAGTCAGGTAAAGTAACCACAGCATCAACACGAAGACCTCCGTTTTTCTTTTAATTTAATATGACTCTGCCATACTTGATTAGTGAAAGATGTACATGGGGACCTGCCAGGCACGGGAGCTGCCACCAGTCCCCTCAGAGCCCTTCCCCAAACAGCAGCTCAATTCATGTTTATGCCATTCACCTTTATCTACTAAAAAATGCTGTCAAACCTAAAATAAGAATGTCGGCCAGCTAGTGAAATGGTTCTTAAGATATTCACATGCCCATTTGTTCTTTGGCGTTACTAGTCACCATGTGTATACTGGTCATGAATGATTCCTTACTAGCCAAACCACCTTGTAAGACTGACAAATCAAGAATTTTATATTTGTGACCCAATATTGACAGACTCAAGAACATAGAGGAGATTCTAGGAGCACAGAAGTTACTCTAGGAGAGCTGGACAGGGCTGTACCCATTAGCAGGACTGGTATGTGCTCAAGGAGGAACAGGATGAGCACTACCAGAGCTACAAAATGACCTCCAGCAGACTTCATACAGGTGGCCTGAAGGCTCGATGTCCCTTGTGCTCACTACCTGGCATTGTGGAGCCCATTTGACATTTACCATAGAACACCAGTCATAGCAGGTCCACTACTTGCACCCTGTGCTTTTCATAGATGAGAGCAGGTTCACCCCGAGCACCTGTGACAGTCGTGGGTTTGTAGAAGCTGTGGAGAATGTAATGCTGCATGCAAGCTCATTTAGTATGCCCTGTTTGGTGGTGGGTCGGTGATGGTCTGGGGAGGCATATATCCATGGAGGAATATCCACAGACCTCGACATGCTGGGTATTGGCACCCTGACTGCCAGTAGATATGGGGATGAAATCCTTCGGCCTGCCGTCAGACCCTACACTGACGGGTTTCACCTAGTGCTCGGCTTCATATGGTGAGAGAATGCAGGCAGTTGCTTGAATATGAAGAAACTGATACCATTCAATGACCCCCGTACTCGCCTGACCTAAATCCAATAGAACACCCAATAGAGTAGGCTCAGGGCTAAAATACTATGTACTGACACAATTATTGACTCAGCAAAATTACACAGAATGAAGAATGTTGCTTATCTCATTACATGTGGACACATTTGCTTTGTGGTAATAAACCTCTGACAATCAAAACTTGATGCTGCTATTTACTATATATTCTGTTGATTTGTACTTCTAAATAGTATAACTACATAGTGTAACTAATTATACTATTTTGATTACTCTCTGCAGTAAGTAGCACAGATTTATCCATTGTTAAGGTTAATTAAGTCCATGTTGGAGTCTTTAGATCTTGCTCAGGCAGAATTTGTACACCAGTCTTTAAGAAGCAACTATTAAAGGCTTTGCAGAGGTAGGAAACACCCTAAATAATAAGAGCATTAGCCCTCTTAATCTATTTTGGGGTCAAACACAGCATCAGGATCCTTACACCTGTTTTACATACTAATTCCGTCTGCTGTGCCCTAACCATGAACTGCATTATTCCTTACCCACAGGAAGTACTTTGGTGAGAAGATCGGCCTTTACTTTGCATGGCTCGGCGTGTACACCCAGCTGCTTGTACCAGCTTCCATAGTGGGTATCATTGTGTTTGGCTATGGAGTGGCGACAATGGACACTAATATACCAAGGTACATTAGAAATCCACTGCAAAAATCTCTAGTTTTACTGTTGCAGTTTCATTTGAGAGAGAAAATCATTGTACAATCCCACACTGTAAAAAGTGGTTATGGAATGAGATGTTCCCTAAAATACAGATTCTAGCATAATGCAGAAAATAAGGATTTGTTCCTGCCATTGCATGCACATATGCCCATACACACATTTACTAGACAGGGATTGCCCAGATACCTGCTGTATCTGGCTTTAGTCAGGGTTGTGTGGGTGGCGCACAAAAGGCTCAGCTGTGTGTGTGTGTGTGTGTGTGTGTGTGTGTGTGTGTGTGTGTGTGTGTGTGTGTGTGTGTGTGTGTGTGTGTGTGTGTGTGTGTGATGAAGTGGAAGGCTGATAATTCAGCCTACACCAAGTATGAATAGGGTCAAAGTAGAAAAGCTTGTGTTGTGGTTATGTGTTAAAAGTTCCATTCATTTATTGTGGTTAAATGTAACAGACCCAAAGATCCATGCGCCTTTTTAGCTGAGAGTGAATCCACAGACAGAAATATAGAGCCTCAGTTAATCTTATACTCATAAACATTAACACTACACCACGTATTATATAATGGTGGGCACTCTAGATTTGATATTTTTTCCCCCTCTTCTTCAGTCTGGAGATGTGTGACCAGCGTCTCAATTTCACCATGTGTCCTCTGTGTGACCGAGCATGTGACTTCTGGCATCTCAGCACTGCCTGTGGAACCGCCAAAGCTTCACACCTCTTTGATAACCCTGCCACTGTCTTCTTTGCCATCTTCATGTCTCTATGGGGTAAGGTTATGTGTTTTTGCATATGCATACCGAGATGACAGGTGGGCTGGTTATGAAAATGCTCAGAGATACAGTCCTAATCAAAAGTTTAAGACCACTTGAAAAATGGCAAAAAACATATTTGGCATGGTTGGATCTTAACAAGGTTCTAAGTAGAGCTTCAACATGCAACAAGAAGAAATGGGAGTGAGACAAAACATTTTTTTTGAGCATGCAATTTATTGAAAACAATGCTTAAACTGAAACAGACTGTTTTACAGCTGATCAAAGGTTTAGGACCACATGCCTTTAAAAGGCCAAATCTGTGCAAAATGTGGATTCATTGTCATTTTCTGTCCGGTAGTCACACTGTCATGGCGTTCTGATGGCAAAGGCAAAATGTTCCCTTTTTGAACGGGGTCGGGTTGCTGAACTGCATACGCAGGGTCTCTAGCAGCGCACAATCCACATTTTTGCACAGATTTGGCCTTTTAAAGGCATGTGGTCCTAAACTTTTGATTGGGACTGTATCTTATGACCTGAATTTTATGTCCTGAGAGAATCTGTATAAAATTACATGAGACTGAACACTAAGGAAGGAGCAGCAGGTTAGAGTGGTTAAGGATAGAGATGGAATTCTACTAATGACTGAATAGAGTATGCTGAGAAGATGGAAGGAGTACTTTGGGGAGCTCATGAATGTAAAGAACATGACAGAGGAGGATAAATGGTGTATTAAGAAGTGCAGAAGATTAGTAAGGAGGAAGTGAGGACGGCTATGAAGAGGATGAAGATTAGAAAGGTGGATGGTTCAGGTGGCATACCTGTGGTGGTATAAAGATGTGTAGGAGAGAGGGCAGTGGGCTTTTTAACCAGACACAATCTTGGAGAGTGAGAGCATGACTGAGGAATGGAGAAGAAATGGCTGATGTGCAGAGCTATAGTACAGCGATCCCCAACGTTTCTTGCGCCATGCACTGGTTTAATGCCCAACAATATTTTCACAGACTGGCCTCTAAGGTGTTGCAGATAAATACAACAAAATAAAACCGGTAACTGTACCAAAAAAAGATTTATGCATAACACATGGGAAAAGACCCAGGGAAACTGAGTTAACGATAAAAACAATAAAAAAAAAAAAAACGATAAAAACCCTGAGAACCATAAATTTCACACCCGAGCCTCAACTCTCGCAGCCGGATACCAAACGACTCACGGACCGGTACTGGTCCATGGCCCGGGGGTTGGGGACCGCTGCCATAGTAGATACAGAGGGATAAAGTTAACGAGCCACACCATGAAGCTGTGGGAAAGAGTTGCTGAAGCTAGGTTAAGAAGAGAGGTGACAATCAATGAGCAGCAGTGTGGCTTCACATCTGTAGTTCTTTCTCAGCATGATGTTTGGGTGTTGATGGAAAAGTATAGACTGTCAGAAGGAGCTGCACTGTGTCTTTGATGGTCTAGATAAAGCATATGAGAGGGTGCCAAGTGCGGAACTGTTGTACTGTATGAGGAAGGAGTGACAGAGTGAGAGTGCTGGTAGATGACATGTATGAAGATGGTAAGACAGCTGTGAGGTATGTGGTAGGATTGACATATGTCTGAGCTTTGAGTGGGATTAATCAGGGATCGGCTTCTTGTTTGCACTAGTAATGGACAGGCTGATTAATGAGGTCAGGCAGGAGTCTCTGTGGGGTATCATTTTCACAGATGACATTAAGATCTGTAGTGAGAGTAGGAAGCAGGTGGAAGAGAGCCAGGAGAGGTGGAGGTATACAGTGGAGAGAAAAGGACAAGTCCCTGGAAACGAGACAGAATAAGTTTGTGTGAAAGAGAGGGTGACGGGTGTAAGAGTGAAGCTGCACTCAGCAGATGTTTTGAAGATAGATGAGTTAAACATCTGTTGGCAGCTATCCAAAGCAACATACAGCACATGAGAGAGGTGAATAGGTGATTTTGTTGATAGCAGCAAGTGTGAAAGCAAAGGTTTGCAGGACAGTAGTGAGAGTTACTATGATGTCTGGTTTGGAGACTGGTACAAAGGCAAGATGGGAGGTGGAAGATGTTAAATCCTTCATTGGGAATGACCAGAATGGACACGATTAGAAATGAGTATATATGTTACAAATAAGTCATAGGAACAGCTCAGGTTGGGCAGCTGTAAATTTAAATTACACCAAGTCACTGTCAAAGAGCAATTAGGGGACAAATGCATTATTTCTCTCTTGCTTTCTTGCTTGCCCTCTATGTCATTGAATCAATTGAAAAAGAAGTAGTTTAGTCAACTCTAAAATTAAAAACTTAGGGTCAACTTTTAAGTCATATGATGCAGTTGGAAACTTGCAATTGGAGATTTACGATACTGTAACCTTTATTAAAGTTCCTCGTTTGTGTGATTGTGCAGCGGTGCTATTTCTGGAACAGTGGAAGCGACGTCAGATCAGTCTGAGCTTCAGCTGGGACTTGACAGGCATTGAGGAGGATGAGGTAAATGCTTTTTAAAGTGCAAACATAAACGCATCAAACCTACAAAATTAGCAGAAAAATTTCTGAACATTCAGATTGGCAGAGGTTTTTTCTTTTTTCTTAACCAGTTTCACTCCTACAATCTGCGTGTGGCCACACTACCTCCTCCTGCAGTGACACTTAACATTGGCACTAAATGCATTATCATCTAATGCTAATCCCACACTAGCCTGGAATGTACATGTGGCATACACATAGATGCCCACATGAGAGTCAGATAGAATGTCCAGAACCTAACTCCTTCTCACTCCTGTTTTCTTTCAGGAACACCCCAGGCCAAGATATGAGACCGTCCTCCTGCAGAAAAGACAGAAGAAGCAGAACAATAAGAAAAAGAAGAAGAAAAAGAATGAGGTAGGAAGGCAAAGAAAACAAAGCTATACTATTAAAGTGCTTACTATAGGAACGTGTTATGGTAACAAGTCATGTTTTTTAAATTCAGTGATCTGTATACATAATACAAATATGAAGGAAATATATTTCCTTTCACCCAGCTGGTTTTCAACATGTCCAAGATTATCTCATGACTGGGAGTGATCTAGATTCTCTGTGTAAACCAGGTCAATCACACTGAGTCCTGTTGGCCCACATACTTTTGCAGTGGTAACAGATGGCTGCCTGCTGCTGCCAGAGGGAAGCAGGGAACTGGTTCACATGACACAGGATCATCATTACACCATCCCAAAATTGATTAGGGAAGAAAAATAGAAAAATTTAAAAGATCTTCCTGGGAGCTGATCATATATACAGTGGGGCAAAAAAGTATTTAGTCAGCCACCGATTGTGCAAGTTCCCCCACCTAAAATGATGACAGAGGTCAGTAATTTGCACCAGAG